TAATAACGAGTGGGTTAACAACGCAGACTTTTTCCAGTGTAGTGATTCCAATAGCGATGGTGAACAATGCGAAAACGAGATACCAGTGAATAAAATTCAGATGCATTTGAATATTGAAAAAACGGAGAGTATGTTTCAATGTATATAAGAATCTACATCTCAAGTTTGATTTCAAGGGAAACAAACTATTATAAGCAACGTCAGATTTGACCGAAATTTCTTTCTCAACTGTATGTAAAATAGTCAAAAACAAACCTTTGAACGCAAGACGCGATGTGATTACCAACACCTTTAGATGCTCATCTAATAAAATCATTAAAAAAAAGAATATACTACTTTTACAAAAGCAATGAGATTCCTACAACTGAAATCATAAGAAAGAAATTGAATACATTCCGGAAAAAACTCTTCAGAATTGGATAAAGAAACTAGGATTTAGATTTAAAATAATAAACAAACGTCAAGCAGTTATGGAAAGCAGAAGAATAGTGGAATTGCGTAACATATACTTAGAACAAATAACTAAATATAGACAAGAACAACGGCAAATTTTCTATTTGGACAAAACTTGGTATGACACTCATGACACAGTTACGAAAGGGTAGACTGATGGTTCGAGAAGGTGTACGCCTAACATGCCTGCAAACAAAGGATCGCGACTAATCATTGTGCATTGCGGAGGAAGTAAAGGATAGGTTCCGAATTCTTTGAAATTATGTGGAAAAAACTTGAGAACTGCAATGTTGACTATCATAAGAACATGGAAGCTAATATTTTTGAGGAATGGTTTGAAAACACATTGATCCCAAATTTGGATGAGAATAGTATAATAATTCTTGACAACGCTTCCTATCATTCGCGACAGCTCATCAAAGTACCGAATAAAAATTCGAGAAAAGATGAAATACAAAATTTTTTAATGGATAACATTTTGTATTTTGAAGATAACTATACCAAACACCAATTACTTGAAGTTTTACAGACAAAAACATTTGAAAAAATGTATGCCCTTGAGAGTATTACTGAAAAGTATGGACACACCATACTAAAACTTGAAACGAAAATTGAAACGAAGCCTCAGGCGTGAAAATAATTTTCCAAAATTTGATATGAAGGTAACGGAGCTAGTTAAAGAAGAAGTATCTAATATTACCGAAGAAGATTGGCAGAAAAGGATTAAAAAAGTAATTTTATAAAATAAAGACATTTTTCAGATATAATCTTAAAAACTTTCCTTTGAAAGACATTTTTCGTGAAGGACACAATGTTTCTTACCGTTTTTAGATTACTAATGACTTTAAAATAACGTTTCGGCTGTTAGTATACACAATCCTATATTTTTAAATAATTCTTAAATTTCATCGTCAGTCATTATTTCTTTTCATTATTTTCAATATCTTCTTTCTACTAACTCACTTGAATGTTTCGGTTATAATTATTTGATAATTTAAGTTCAAACCTCTAACAATCGATAGGAAAGCGTCAGCCACATTAAATATATTCTCAAACCACTATTTTTGCGAACATTTGAAAAAATATTTACTTAAATATACAGGAATCATATTGCAAATATATGAAACACATGTACAGATATGGTACCTATTGAGATAATTTACAGGTGTTCACGTTGTATAATTTAGTTAGAGATATAAGAAGTTAATGGTAACTAATAAAAAAATCAGAATGTATTCTAAAATGAATATATGAATTATCAATACAAAAATAAAATATTTTGTGAAAAAACCATCGAAAATTATGAGTTAAAATAGAAAATGAAAAAAATACATACTAAAAACTTGACTGAAACAAATTATACAGATCGGTCAGATTTCCTTGTTTATTTCAGTTAAGCCGTTAATGGGTAATCATTTTACATACAGGGTGATTCAAGGAATAAGAAACTATAACCATAATAATTCCTATACCTTATATTTTCTATTTACTGATAGTGAAATACTGATAGTGAAATACCCCGACACTCTGTCGAATGAGGCCCTCATGTCCCCCGTTAAAGGATGAACAGATCTTTCATCCATTCCACCCAGCCAGGTAGGGGTACCCCGTGAAGGGTGGTACTGATGTCTGAGGACTTCATGCCGTCATCAACCCCTCAGTCATGAACTCACTTGTCCTTTTTTCGACAAAAATCAGCCAAAAGGGTAAGGGAGCTGGGCTCCAACCTGAACAAACTCAAGACGACGTGCAGTATTCATTTGTACATCAGTTGAAAGGGTAAGGGATTTGTGGTTCAGCCTAGCATCACTGATGCGAACTATGGCGGGTCGAAACAGCATTGGCTGATGTTGAATCATAAATGCGTTGTGTTTTTGGGCACCGATTTTCAGCTGGTCGCATTGCAGTGAAACACAGAGGACGAATTTCGTCGGCGGTCGATATCAAATTTGGCTTTGCAACTGACCGCTTTGGGAAGCCTCGTTTGTATGTAGTATTCGAGTTCTCTGTCGATTCTATAGACGGCGTCTTTGTAAGAGGAGATGTCATCGCACTCATGTCCTTTCTTCATTGATTTTTTGACTGNGAGCATTAAGATTATCTTGACCATACTTGCACATAAATAGGTTTTTACGCTTCTCAAAGTAGAAAAAGATATTTCTCCTGAACAATTTGTTGCCAGAATACTAAAAAAATACGTAAAGCAATGTCCACATTTGGGTTAACATCTCGAAGACTCCGTGAATATAATATAATATAATATAATAATCGTATCACATCGTATCACCGATTCGATGTGATACGAACGGTTTGTAGTTCTTTCCGTCTCCTCGTATCCAATTCAAGCCTAGGAATGGAAGGAGATTTCCAAGGACAAACTCTCGTTTTCGCTGTCTTCTCCAATGATGCGAAGAACTCTAGCCTCTGAGAATGCTTTCTTACTACTCCCCTTTTTCATTCCCACCTTTTCACTCCAGGATAATTTCATTGAATCCGGAATTCTCGAATAAATTGAGGATTTTCGAGATAACGTTCACTTCCTAGACTCTTCATGATCGAAACCATTTTGCTCACGTCTGCAGAATAATGAATCGGCTTTTCAAAGTTATTTTCTCTTATGGAAGGAACAGAATCAGCATCCTTGATTCTGTTCATCAAAGTATCTATGATGTATTCAGGTCTTCCGAACCGTTTCTGTAAAGTTTCAATCACAAGGTCTACGTTATCGGCAGTTAACATCATTCCTGCAACTGTTATCTTTGCTTCCCCTTTTAGAAATTTCTGAATGCTTCAGCATGATCTCTTCATTGCTGTAGTCACAAAACTTGCGAAGATTCTTGAATGACTTATGGAACAGGGGCTAATCTTGGGGACTGCCATCAAACTGTGGAAAATCCTTCTCTAACATTTTTCGCATGTGAAATTTATCTGGATTCATTACTTCAAGTGACGTTGGGTTTTGAGTTGTTGAAGCTGGGAGAGAAAACGTTCTGAGAACGTTTGCAACAGTTCCGCAAAGCTGTTGTATGTGACATTTCCTGGTTTCTCATCGGGAAATTGTTCTTCGACCTTGGGTAAGTTATCATTGGGTTTCTCAGTTTTTTCAGGAATACGTGACAGATTTTCTTTCCTATCATAATGAAATTGTTGAGATGTGTAATCTACCCATTGAGATACTCTGTTTCTTTGTTATTGTTCTTGAACTAGTTCTCTCCTGATATTTTCGCTCTTTGCTTCTGATTGAACGTAACTTTTGCCTTCTTCTTGGGCATCTATCTCGGCTCCATGCAATTCTTCGAGTTGAAGAAGCTGTAAACTATCAGCTATTTGCTTATTCTTCAACTCTCTACGCTTCTTTTCTTCCAGTTGTTGATCTTCCAGTTCTGGCTTCCTAAATTTCTTTGTAGCTCCTGTCTTTGTCTTTATATTTTTAGAGCTATTCTTTTCTATTTCAAATCCAAACTACTTCGTCGAGATAATCTGGTATCCCTTGAGGCTTTCGAGTGAACAGACTGCTTCAAGTGAACCTCATGTATCAAGGAAGTTGACTCGCCAGATTTATCTTTAACGACTTTTTCAGGTAGTTTGTCTAGATTGGATTCTGGTTTCTCACGATTTCCAAATCCGTTTGGTCATACGTAGTCCGATGACAGACTTTGATTAAGACCTGCACTTTCTCGCTTGGGCGTACGTTTCTCCATATAGTGATCACGTCGGGGTCACCAAATGTTGTTTCCTTGATAATTTTTAGGCGTGAAAAAGCCACAAACATACATACATACCTCTATCCTCACAAACTTTCATATTTATATTAGTATAGAGATAGATTATTTGAGGTTATAATATTTGATGTATTTACTTTAGAAATTTCATCTGATATACTCATTTTACATATAGAACTTGAATTTTTTCAAATTATATTTTGTGTAGTCAGAGGTTTTGCAAAAAGTAAATAGCAAACATTGCAAATTTACCGAACAATCAACCGATGAATGCAAATCAGGCATTGCTGAATTGATTTCATTTAATTTTGACTTAAACCAACATAAAATAGATTCATTCGGGTTGCTATTCTTATAATCATTTAGAGTTTACAAGAATGTCTATGAGAATGTCTATGTGTTACTATTTTGTTAAACTAATCAAAGCAATGTATATGTTTTGAAATTGGAAATTACATTTTTCAGAAGATAGAGGAGATCTTCTTCAATTTGCGAAAGTTTAAAGAAACACGAGACTTTGCATATTTAGAAAATGGTGGGTATTAATTCATTATTTTTATTCTCTACTATGAGCTATTTTTAATATGGATATTGTTGAAGGGAATATCCAAATGGTATTTTGGAGAACTCATTTTTAATGGAAAATATCAGAGTGAAAAAGGAAAAGATTTCCAATGCTGCCAGTTCTGATACTCCATTATCCAACACTTCTGTACCTTCTACCATAGGTAATTTATCTAAATTCAGAAACAAGTTTACATATAAGTGTTATTGTAATAAGCGAGTTCATTTAACGCACTTTTTGTTGAAATATTGTTATTGAAGTGAAAACGGAACCAGAGGATATGCCAGCTCCTAAAAAACTGCTATCCAGGAAGAAAGGCAAAACTGACGTTTTGGAGGTACCCAAAAGATCTACTCGCAGTAGGACTAAACCAAGGAAGTACGGCGAAGTTGAATCTGAGGTAAGATGCATAAATAATCTCATTCACAATGTATTTTTTATTTCTTTATAGACAGGTGAAACCTGTCACATAAAAATATAAGATTATCCTCACATAATAAATACTAAATGAATACTAAATGCTCATGTGTAAATGCTTTCATGAAAAAATGTAAAAATAGAATTCATTCTAACCTTTTCAGACACAATAGATGCATATTCAGGCCGTTTTTCAGCTGATCCCATTATTGCCATCGGTTAAATTACACAGAAGTTTCCTATTTTGGAGAATGAATGATATAAATAAAAGTAGAGGAACTGAATCAATTAGATTTCATTATCAACTTTAATTTTTCATATACAGAACTGTATTGTAATAACTAGCTGAATTTGTTATTACAGTGTACAAAAATCGATGAAAAAATGTAGAGGTCCGTATTTAAAAAAATCAAGTTGATAGAATCTAATGAACGAAATCTCGAATTGCAAATTAGTTGCTATAAGATTATAACAAAATGAAACTTTATAAAAGTTCCTTTGCCTTTTTGTACATCATTCGACAATTACTAAATTCGACAATTCTAGTTTTTGGCGAATAATTCAAAAATATAACCACTGATGTTCTCTCTCTCTCTCTCTCTGAATAGCGAGATCATTCTGGTTCCCCAAAATAAAACATTTTTGGTCTTACCGTTTCCGAGATAGCAACAGTGGAATCTGCTAAAAACCGACCGACAGCGAATTAATATTGAGACTAAAGATATACTTTGTAATTGAACTCTTTAAGGAATATGTGGAATCTAGAAAAGTCTAACCCGTAATCATTTGCATTTCTCATTATTTAAAACAAGCACCGTTCCCAAATACCAGAACTGCAACGCTCTTCCCGACGCGCGTTTTATCAACCAAGTTGGCATCTTCAGGAGATTAAGTCTGTTCCCAAACATTAAAACGGCAACGCTTTGTTTTACACGCGTTTCACTAATTAAGCCTGCTGCATCTCCTGGTTTGGAGAAACGCCAACTTGGTGGGTTAAACGTGTGTGGAGAAGAGTGTTTCAGTTCTACCTTTCATTATCTCTCATTTTTCTTGAGACTGGACTAAAAAATCAGTAATTTGTCTGGTGACAATTTCCTTAGAAAATAGTTTTATTGTATCTCTTGTGTCTGTGTATGACTTTCAGGTTTATGTTGCTCAGAAGTAGGTAACAAACTTTATCTCATAGCTGTTTATGAAAGGATGTTTAATCACTCTGAATATATTTGCTTTCAAGGGTGCTTATGTGAAAAATGGATATATTATCGCTATAACTATAATGTCCCAATTGAAATACAATTTTAACTGCTGCAGATCTTTTTCTTTAATTGGGCGAAACACAAGTACTACAGGAAAATCCTTAAGACGCTCTTAGAGTGCTGTCTGTGCGAAAGTAGTGATTCACATTGGATTTGAATCGCTGGAGATGAAATCTCCATTTGGAAAAACGTTCTCAGGAAATTTATTCCATATAAACACCGTTCTCCAAATGGAAGAGTTCCTAAAAAGTGAAGTTCGAGGTGTACTGAGTTGAACCTCGAAGCGATGAGCAGCCACAGTCCATCGCGTATTTCTGATATATACCGCTCTTGGTGGAATCAAATGTGCCAGGTCATACTTGAACACCTCCCGTGGAAGTATCCATAGAAGATAGACAAATCCAACATTTCTTCGATGTTGCAGAATATCAAGGTTGCAAGTGATGTTCGAGTCTCCAATCAGGTGGATGGCTCTCTTCTGAATGGAATCCAGCAGCTTTAAGGGTATGTTTGGGGGCGGTGTTCCATACACGAGAACAATACTCCAAAGAAGGTCTAGCTGAGTTTTATAAAGCATCAAAAGTTGCTGAGATGTGTTGTTTTCTGGTTCAGAACAGTGTTCCAAGATTTTGAGAAGCAGCCTTTGCAATTCCAGCGACATGATTGTGCCGAGACATATTGGTGTCCATTTTAACTCCCAATAAACTTATGGAAGAAGAAAGCGGATTTGTCTGACCTAACATTATTATATCCGTTTCGACATTTATCTTCCGAAATGCCTGGGTTTTTGTGGCATTGAATTGAACCTCATTAAGATATTGAACCTCTTGCTGCCGGTGAAGATGTGCATCCGCAGCCGATGTCCTGGAATCCAAATATATATAATGACGAAACAAGTGTGCTGTCGTCAGCAAAGCAATATATTGGATTATTGTTTTTTTCCAATATATCCCAAGAGATTTGAGTGCAATTTTAATAATATGGTTCAAATATACCTCCAAGATCTTCAATCTCTTCAACTTATTTCAGAAGTAAGCTGGAGTAATCATACTCCATTGATAACTGACAACGATTAACCAGGTTGGTACAAAATTTGGAAACTTGGCACAGAATTTTTGACTCAGGTCTTTGACTTACTCAGCTACCAGTTAAATGGGTAGAAATATCCAATAGCGAATCCTGCTGATAATTAGCAAGTCAACCCTATGGCTAATGATAATTATAATTGGCAACAGTTACAGTCCCTATATTCTACACATCTTTTAAAGTTAGGAATCAACTAATTATGAAATAATTATCGCTCCCATGACCATCGAGCAAACAAACCACCACTGACAAGTCCTACAACAGACCGTGCATGTCTTCACATTCCGCTGGATATCTGAATTGAGGTTCGATCTGTATACCTAGTACATCTTCCGTATCATGAAATTTTTAGAAACATTAGGTGAAGTGGCTGATTGTAATCTTCTTCTTTATTTCAATTTCAAAATTGTGAAATCGATTTGAAAGTAGATAGAGCAGAATCATAGTAATCAGACCTGATGAATATTGACACAACTTTTCAATCAATATTTTTTGTATAAAAAATCAATCATAAAGTTGTAAAAAATATATATAATTCATCTTGTTCATAGTACATTGCTTGCAGTAGAATAGTTCGATAATGAGGGGATTTACTCGACTCTCCACTGCAACCTGCGAGGGTTTATTGTGGCTCAAACCTTTATATGTATAGAATAGTGAAAGTCTTCTTCAAGAAAGCACTTTCAGTTATATATTATCTCATTTTGAAATCATGATTGACAAAAGTATCACAGTCCAGGTGTGTAGAAAGAGTGCTTTCTTGGATTTATTGTAACCCAGAAGTTACAATTTTACCTATCGATCAAGCATTAGGTGTATTCTCATAACATTATTTCGTTCTAGAGGGTTAATGGCAAATCGTCTGATGTTGTTATCCAGAATGTTACTATCACCACAATTGACATCACCGATACATCTGACACAGAAAATTACTCAAAAATAGAGGATGATAACAATGTAGAGATCGAAGTAGCACATGTAAATGGAAAAGAAAATTCAAGAAGTACACGTTCTATAATCAGGTATGTCAAAAAACAAGCATCATCAGAAGAAGCAAGTGTATCTGCTGAGTCAGAGGCTAAGAAGATTAGGGGTAGTCATACCAAGATCTTCCATCAAAATCTAAGAAGTGGGTCCAATAACTCAGATCAAGAAGAAAGGAAAGAAGTGAGTGAACTGAAAATTTTTCTTAAACACTCAATTGACTATTTCATCTTTCAATATCAAAAATAGCAAATAAAGATTGAAATTTTTATTTTTTTCAATTTATGTTGCAGGAAGAAAGAAAAAAATCTAAATGGAGCTCATCTTCGGAAATAAAATTCAACAAGACTTCCCAAACTGAGTATGAGGATGCCGTTTCAACCTTGGAAATCTATGAATCAGAAATCCAAAATCCTAATGCAACCTATGTAGCCTCAGTAGATGCTCAATATTCAATTCTCAATGGAACTATAGTGTTGAAAAACCACAAAACTCTTGAGAAACATGATGGGAGGGAGCTAGTTGAAGAAAAAAAAGCAGCTTTGCAAAAAGACCTACGAACTCCACCCAAACTGAAATCTAAGAAAAATATGGAAGGAATATTCAGTTCCATTGCAAAAACTCCTCTAAAGAAGGTTGAGGCCTTTCAAACACTTCAGAGGTTGATAAATAAAAATGTTTGCGCACTTAAAAAATTAGGGCTAACTAAATTGGATTTGTTTGAAAACTTCATATTTTTTTTTCATTGTAATGAATTAGAACCTCTGGCATAAAAAAACGTATGGAAACACTTTTTCCACATAACAGAACTAGGGCACTTTTTTTTATACGAATTTTGCCAACCAAGTTAACATCATCAGGAAAAAAATATTTAGTTTTAGTCATGTCCTGATGATGCTAACTGTGTCATCGAAACACAAACAGTGTTCTCGTTCTGGCGTGGGAGAACGGGTTGTATTAGATTCAAAATGATTGTATAATTATTATCAAGTACTTCTTATTTCAAATTTCAAGTATTTTTACAGCAATTTTAGCAGCATTCCTACTTTGACCAAATCGAAAACGTCAGAAGATGAAAGCGTTGATAATCAGATCGCCGATAAACCGAAAGGCTTTACCCCTTTTTCTAAAAAATTTTTACCAAAAAACTTTAGCACGTCTAGGATCAAAAAAATGCACCCAGGAAAACTGGACGTATTGAAAAATGATAATGACAACTTGCTATCAGAAAAATCCCACAGTGCTTTAAAAGCATCCCAGGTAGAGTTTAGAGACAGAGAAAAAAGAAGACAAGAAAAAGAGAATGAGGCTTTAAAGAAGCGTGAGGCTCTTTTGCTGGCACAGTCTGAAGAAAAAAGGAGAAAACGTGAGGAGAAACAATTGAAGGTAAATTTGTCAATTGGTGCAATTAGGAGAGTTACCAGTGTTTTTTGCTGTTTTCGTTATTCAGCTTGATATTTCCTTTGGAAATATTCAACCTTTCCAATATTTATAAATAACATGCCATTCTTCAATAAACGTATAGATAGTTTGAGAGAAAATACAATTGAAGGTAAATTTGTCAATTGGTGCAATTAGGAGAGTTACCAGTGTTTTTTGCTGTTTTCGTTATTCAGTTTGATATTTCCTTTGGAAATATTCAACCTTTCCAAAATTTATAAAAATAACATGCCATTTTTCAATAAACATATAGATAGTTTGAGAGGAAACAATACAATTGAAAAATAAACAGGAATGACTAAAACACTTAAATATCGATTCAATAATAACAATAATTATCAGTTTCTTCATAGTAGGGTAATATGTTTACACCTGATTTTCAAAGGAGTACGTGGATGAATCAACTGAATTCTTTATTTGTCAGGATAAGCATTCTAGTAATGGATTCGTTTAAGTCCTATGGCAAGGAACTTGGAGAACTCTCATACTCTGGTTCTTCTCGAATTCACAATCAAATTATTTAGTTGCGTTGAACTTGGACTCATATAGAAGTCTCAAGTCAATTTCTGCAATCAGTGATAAATTCAAAAGAAGGAGAATATCGGAGTAGGTACTCGTAGTTGGTCTTTTGATGTTCGAACTCAAATGCACATGACCTCGGGAATTTGTTTTGTACTTTCATAATCTTAAGAATGGAATATCTGTCTAATGTAGAGGGTACGGTATTCCACAATTACATTCTAAGAGTGGACGAACCAAAGAACAACACAAAATTTCAAAAGTACAGAAAATTTGTTTGTGGAATTCTGATACAATGTGATTTATGTGACCTTTAAAAATTACCTTAGTATCAGACAGCACTTCCAAGACCTGAACACTATCGATCATCGTTCCTTGATCCGGTGCTGTTCACTGTTTCCAATGACAAGTTAGTTTGTTTATCAGTTTTTGCTGGATATTCCTTCAGAATGGTTTACTTTTTTGCAGGGTATCTTCGAATTATAATTCCATGATAAATGGCTTATAACTCTTCTATTTGAACGTACATCACTGTAAAATTTATATCAACTGTGAGATAATCCAATTTGGTGTAAATTTTGGTATAAATTGCCCACTCCATGAATAATTCGCAAATGAAAATGAATGACTCTCTTGACTCACAAAAAATACTCTGACATTTGATTTCTTGTGCTTGAGGTTAATTTGGAAATATTGAAATCATCATACGCACCTTGTACGTTCTATCATTTAATGTTTTCATTTTATTTTCTGTAAATATGTTTTACTTTCTTCACCTCTGTAATGTTTAATTAATACATCACATAGTTTGAAGTTCTGAGATGTATTACTTTAGAGGTCAATATGTGATATATGATTTTCATTTCTGAATTATGTACTCATAATTCTAATCAAATCAGTATCTTCTCTAAGAATGGTATCATAATACAATCACTGTTATTATTGATTCATAAATAAAAGTTTAAATCGGTATTTGATGGTTGTATTAATTGATTTCAGGTCTGCTTTTGTTAGAGAAGCAATGAATATAGAAAATATGGTTTGTAATATTCCAAATATTGTAATTTTTTTGTAATAAAAATTGTAAATTCCAAGATTCAAAATAATACTCATTTTGATTTTTGTGCAATAAATTATTAGGATGTTCCAAAAGTTTTGTCCGTTTTTATGAGTCTACTTCAAAATGTTATATCTCAGTGAATACTCATTCAATTTTACTGAAACAAGCGCCATTTGAATCAGTGCACTTTTGCCAATGTAACACAAATCGAATAAATTATGTACTCGGATTTTTTGAAGTCGATAACGGCTAAATTTATCTGGTCTTGATTGGCGAAGGTTCTACCGGTGAGAAAGTTATCGCAGTGCTTGAAAAAATGGTAGTCAGTTGGCGAAAGATCTGGGGAGTTTGGTGGGTGAAGCAAAACGCTCAATTCCTCAAATCCTCCTCCTGGATTACTGTAGGTCGATTGCTTCCGGGCTGATCTTCGAGGCTAAAATCTCCGGAACTAAATTTCGCAAACTAACGTACAACAGTACGTTCGTTAACACTATTATTGCCAAATGCCTGATTAGTTTCTCCAGATGCTTCGGCAGCGTTTTGGCTCAATTTGAATTCGTAGAGAAAAATATACTGCGACACAGAATAAATATTTATTGAGATATGGAGCTACAAAAATACATGACATTTCCGATTCTGCGCTGCTAGGTATTCGTGCTGCTAATCTTATAAACCCGAATATCTTAACCAAATCATAAAAGACTATGGCATTGAAAATATATAACTGAATTATCAGTGTCATAAAATATGACTTGAAGATTAATGAAATTTTCCAATATCTATTTTTGATAAACTAATAGCAAATTATTAATAATTGCGGAAAATGTATATATTTGCAACATTATTATGTAACACCAAAAAGGCAATTTTGAAATAGTATAAAAATGATTATATTCAGACATGATTTTCAGGCTCAGCTACAAAGGGAGATAATTGAGAAAGAGAAACACAAACTTTTGGAAGAACAAATACGTAAAGAAGAAAAATATAAGCAAACCTTAGTAGAAAAAGAAGCAAAATTGCAAAAACAAAAAGAGGAAGCAGAAAAAAAGAGGCAACTCGTTAAGAAGAAAGCGGATGTGATCAAAGAGAAAGAAGGAAGATTGAAGGAGCAGGAAGGGTGAGTCAATTCTTCTCCCTTGAAAAGTATCAAAACGATATTTATCAAATGAAACATGCTATTGTGGAAAATATCAAGTTCATCATGTTAATATATAGGCCAATGATATACATTTCTACTACCTACATTGACAAATCTGAAAGATTTTTTAACAATACTTTGAATCTTATGTAAACAAAATGTATTTGTTGATGTTGATTTGAATGATGACTTGACATCATGTAAATTGAACTTCGCCTTTTATCTTCATATAATAAATGAACTGTACATGATTAATTTGCTTTAACTGTATTAGAAGATAATAAAGACGATATTATTATTATTATTATATATTTTTTCTCACCCTCAAATATATAACATGTATGATTATGTACACTTTTTTTCCTTGTTTTCTTGGCTATTACAAAGAGTAAATCTTATGGACACCGTACAGAAAATTATGGAACATGTAATTTATGTCTTTCACACTCTGATTTTTATTTTCACAGGGTTTATCAAAGAAATGAGGACGAATTGGCTGGAAAGTTACAAAAGCAGACAATTCGAAAAAAACGACTTAGTTCACTCCCTATCTATATGACTACGCAACCTCCACTCCTACCTACAGATGACTGTTACGATTCAGACAATTCAGGTTGTCAATTAACCAATAAACAAATATCTGATTGGTTAAAAGGTGAGCAAAAATGAGATTGTTATATCTCTTGAAACCTCAAAGTATATAAGTTCAAATTTTTGTCTTCACTATTTTCTCTTATCAAATTCCAATCAGGTAATCTGTTCAATGTTGTTTGATTCAAGTTTTTTTTATAATACTTGCTAGAGATATTTTGCGTTTGCCATTATCATATGGAATTTTGAAGTTTTTGTAACCAAATGAAAGAAGTTTCTCCCAGGATTCGATGGAATTGTATTTGACACATTCATCGATGGTATTCGAGAAGACAAGCAGAAAGAAATCTAACAGCTTTCGGTATCCTCTTAGAAGTGATAGAATTACGTTTCAAAGCAGCCATACTCTTGTGGAAAGGTATGCGAGCATTTTCGTTATTTGAGACATCGATGGTTTCGGTAACAGGAACATTGGTATTATTTCTTGAATTTTGATGAATTTTTCCATTATGTATCTTCAAACCAAAAGAATTCTTAAAAGATTTACAACAGTAATCACAAAAAGATGTTGACAGTGACATTGACGTAATAGAAATGATATGAAATCTACAATGTTCTTTCTGAATTTTACTAGTTTGGACTTCCATTGTCTAGTATGATTCTAATATGATTATAATTCTATGAAAGAACAAATAAAATCAGAATGAATAGCTGAGATATCAGTTATATTAAGCAATGAAACGTGAAATGAAAATACAATAAAATGAATAAAATAACCAAGATAGAACATAAAAGTGACCAGAGTAAAAAGAAAAAAAATAAGCAAAAAATTCAAAAATTGAAATAGTGATGACAGCCCATTCGGGTGACAAGCGATAGTCATTCCTATTATATGCATCCCATATAATGCGGAATGGGGATTCACGAAAACAGTTTATTTTAACTATCCGTCATATTGAATTTAGAGTGATGGCATGTTATTGTTCCTATTCATTTGATATTTTTGTCATGGGGGCGCATAAAAACGCCATAATGATCAGTCCGCCATGTTGCACGTAGAATGGCGTCCATTGTTATCCATATCTAACGTGTATGCAAAATTTGAGCTCAATCGGTCAAGAATAACTGCTTCAAGATTCACTTGAAGATTTGACATACAAACATAAAAATTGAATTGAAAACTTCTAATTAATAAAAGACGTAGGTAACTCTTGTAATTAATATTATAATTTTTTAACACGGTCACTGTGAACTGCTTTTGCAAATATTGAGCAGGGGAGTTTTTCTTAAAGAAGTTTCTTAATATCTTAGATGAATTTATCTTAAGAAATAATCGACTTTTTGAACCGGAAATGAGAACATTTGTCCCGTATTGTTCATCAATTAGCTATTGGATGTAGAAAGTAAAGTTTATGTACTTATCCTATATTTGAGTCTTCTCTATTTCAATAAATAATATACTAGTTTTTGCTCGCCTTGAATTTGGTTTGTCACTTTAAGTTTCGTGACAGACCGTTTTAAACAAATAGTTACAATTTTTTTATTGACTCTAAACTTTAGGTTCCCAACTTCAAAACTAACGAAATTCAATTCAATCTTTAAACCCCCTTTTTCCCCCTTGTGGGTGAACATTTCTGATTCCCTTTCTTGATGCTTATTTACGTCACACATAGAACCTACCTGCATATTTCTATGTTCAGTAAATTCGATTGTACGTTAATATAAAGAGCGGGCAACAGCTAATCATTTATATTTTTACTTTAAAAAGTAACTAACTAAAAAAAATATGCTAACTGCCACTAAGTAATGAATAGCTTCGAGAATCGAATTATGATACCTACAGTGTGACCCATTTTCAATGGAAACACCCCCCTAAAATTTGAAGTTGTAAATCGATTTTAATATTTTTTTTAATGTCAAGTACTAAAAGGTCTACCTTGGGACAAAATTTGAAATGTTTATTAAAGTTTCAGGGCATACTACGATATTTGTTGTTCATTCATG